CAAGACAGAAAAAAGTTGTTTGACGAAAAACTGGGGAACGGTGAACGAGCTACAGATTTTTGAATATTTAAAAACTGGGGGAAAAAGGGGCGTAACCACCCATTTTTACACCTTTTTCCCCCAGTTTTCCCCATATTCAAAAATCTGTATCTCATTGTTGCTCAGTTTTTCATCAAACAACTTTTTTCTGTCTTAGAAAAATCAGTTCTACAACATATCAAAATTTTTTTTTCCTCCGGAGCCTGACTTTAACAATTTTTATAAATGTACAGTAGTTTAAGACACCATCTTTTATACCTTACCCAGAATGCTAATTTTTTGTTAATTAAAAATATTTTATTAATAATTGAAATTTAAAACTGTTTTGGTTTCAAAATCCAGTTTCAGTATTTTTAGTATTACAGTATTATATTATTTTTTTTTAAATAATATACTCCTAAAAAATTTTTGATTGTCAATTGTGAAGTTTTACATATAGTAATATTTTAATTGTGCAATATAATCCCTCAATATAGACCCATCCATAGTAGGATACTTTTAAATTACTAAGTTAATAATAATTAGTTGTAAAATTTTGAAAAGCATTTTGTCCTCCCTCTTTTGATGAATTTGTTAGATTTAGTGAAAGGTATGAGGAAAGATGTACACATACACTGACTTGCATGCAAAAGGCAATATTTTTTCTTATTTCTTTGTTTTCTTCCAAGACTCGAGTCTGGGAAAAGATTTTAAGTCTGCTACTAAACTAATTCCTCCATGTTCTCACCAACTCTCATTGCATTAATTGTTTATGAACTTTTTATATTGCTTATTTTGTTTAAACTAATTGTCAGAGATTAATTCACTTTGCCTTTTGGTTATTTGCAGTTAATTTTTAAAGTTTAATTATATGTTTGCAAGTTTTGTTGTTTTTGTACTTTCTTTGTACTTCCTTTAAAAAGGAAAGAGTGCAAATGTGTACATTGTATCTTAGAATGCTAAATAAATATTATTATAATTCATTCAGATTACAATCATGCGAGACAATCCTCTTGAATCTTCTGATAAGTTGAGTTCTTTGCACATGGACCTTCATGCAAGAGACCAATGTCTTAAAAACATCTAGCTTCCAAAACGTGTTATAACAATAGTAACTTGTACAGTATTGGAGCTCGCCAGCTGAAACACAAGCGAAGCAATGACATAATTGAACCAGGGACCCAAAAAATCCAAAGCTCAGCGCATCCACAGTCGTTTCGTTTAGCCGACCGAACTATGCTATCTATCAATAAATAAATGTTAATACTTGATTTATATAAAAAGCCATTGGGCTTTGTGCCATCAATTTCTGAAAAGCATGTTGCTATGACTTGGGTACATGGTTTATAGTTTAATTTGTTGTTGATAAAGCATATTCAAAGCATTTGGCGCTATTTATGTCTAACATCATGTGTAACGGGTTGTGGACTCATTAATTAGATAACTACTGTACCATTTTGTTACCCAATTCAAATTTGGAGTGCTGCTATACGTGCCAAATACGTAAAATGCTTGCCTTGTAATCCCAGGGTCTTGGGTTCAAATTCTGTCATGATATTAAATTTGTTTTTTTCTCATGACTAAACAACTGCTCTTCATCAACCTCATAGGGAAAAATACTTAAAGCATCATTCCATCCTGTAAACTGGTGAGTCATTCACTGTATGGATGAAAATGAAATGAAGTATTTTTTTGTAATCATGATAAACAATATGCCAAAAGAAGTAGATGTTCAGCTTCTACAATAGGCAGCAATTGCTTGTTAAAATGCCTCATGATTTGCATCTTATCAGTGTACCATATCTACATTCATGTTATACTGACTGTCGCCAACACTAACGTCTTGGGAATGCGACTTCTGGCAGGTTGTACATCTCAAATCCAACATCAG